AATAAATTCACAAATAAAAACAAACAAGTTTACAAACTGACCATATACAGTTAATCAGCCCTATTTGTGATTAGATTTTAATTTTTGCTGCACAGTACAGAAGAAACGTTCCAATATTCATTGGGATCCCTAGGTTTGGAAAATTTTAATGGTTACAGACAGGTTTTACAATAAATGATAGAACATTTATAAAAGAGCTATATGATAAAAATAAACTTCTTGGAATTGATCGGTTTGCCTAATTCCCGGGACCCTAAGCAGCCGCTTACCTTGCTTATTGGTTTAGTCCACCCCTGCATACAAGAAACAGATTGAGTGACCTAATACATTAATGCTGTGTATAAATGCTTGAAAACAATTCTTTTGAACTCTTTGACTCTTATATTAGTGGGGAAAAATTATCTTTTGACATATTTTTAATTTTTGTTACTTTTTAGTTTGCTTTGCTTTTGTCATTTATATAAGCTTTTATACTAATACAGCTTTATGTTTTTGTCATTAAATATTCAAAAAAAAAAAAAAAAAAAAATATATATATATATATATATATATATATATATATATATATATATATATATATAATTAAAATATTCATTATTATTATATCAATATCGTCTTAAATGGAAAATACTATCTAATATATCAAAAAGTTAACAATAACACTGATTGTAGCTATAGTACAATAAATGTATTAATATAAACATCAAAATACTTTTCTACTAATATATTGTATATTACATTACAATACACCACAGTTTACTGTTAAAAACTTTCAGTAAGCTAGCTTAAATGCTTCCAGTGAACTAATTGATTCCAGTGATCTGTTGTTGTCGTTGTTGTTTTTTAATGTATGATCTTCACTGCCTGATTGATATAAAGTGGTTCTCAGACAGTACAAGAAGGACTGTATTAGATTCCAATGTTCTGTTCTGATCCCATTGTGTCTTAAATATAAAAATTTATTTTGCCACAGTATTTTCAATGGAGTTTTTGTTCGCCTGCTGCACCTGATGGTGCTAGTGTTTAAACTGTCTTTCATCTCAATTTACGCTTGAATAACTAAATGAACGCATAGAGCTTTCAGCTAGAATAAAAGCAGTTTAAAATTTTTTAAAAGCCATTTTAAGGTCAAAATTATTAGCCCCTTTTAGCCCCCCCGATAGTCTACACAACATACAATAACTTGCCTAATTACCCTAACCTGCCTAGTTAAAATAATTAACTTAGTTAAGCCTTTAAATGTCACTTTAGGCTGTATAGAAGTGTCTTGAAAATATCTAGTCAAATATTATTTACTGTCATCATGACAAAGATAAAATAAATTATTATTTTATAAATTATCAGTTATTAGAAATTAGTTATTAAAACTATTATGTTTAGAAATATGTTAAAAAAAATATCTCTGTTAAAAAGAAATTAAGTAAAAAAATAAAAGGGGGACTAATAATTCAGGGGGGCTAATAATTCTCACTTCAACTGTACATAGCCCATTACTTTCCCTGTGTCTAGAGTACAGCTGCTTATTAATCATGACCTGCCTGCTTAAATACAGTTCATAACCTAATATTTTTATATATAATTAGATGTGTCAAACAGTCCTATTTATTAATTTGCAATCATTAATAATTAACAAAGTCTGTGGTTTGTGTTTCCCTCTGAATATGTTCAAACCACAGACATTTCCACCGTCATCATCACTATGGCACAGCGGCCGCATGTAAATCTTCCATACAGTGTCGATTCAGATTCAGTTCACGAGGTGAAAAAACCCACAGCCGAGAGACGCTCTGATTACTACTCAGCCATAATCCCTTTTCTCTGATCTCTGCTGATTTTAGTTTAATATTCCTGGAACTTTTTTTTTCGAAGGGGGGAATTATTCAAATACAAGGTGGAAATCGCTTCTCCACCTGCAGGCGTATGAGGGGAAGGAAGAGACGGCAGGAGGGAGATAAATCGGAGCAAAGTGCTTCAATGGCCTCTGAGGTTTTTTTTTTTTTTTTCTCCCTGATGTTTCCCTCAGCGTCAGCCGGACATCTCGAACACTCGAGGTCATTTTCCCTCCTGCCCTGCTAATTTACTCGCGGGTGGTGCTGCGTTTGGCGAAGGCTAAAATCTGGCTCTTTCTCCACAGCTCGAGCCCCCCGGGCCACCCAGTTCTCCTGATCCGGGGTGTTCGCTGATAGCGGCGTGATATTTCTGCCATGCCTTGAATTTCATTTCAGGATCACAGCTCGCTAGCTGAGGAACGGAGGACTGCTAAATCTTCTCCGATAATCGGCTAGACGGCTAAAGCAGCCTAGCATGTCAACCGTTTACAGGATATTTCCTCATTCTGTATGAGTTTCCTGCAATTGGTTGATGTTAGTCTAATCATATTTATGCCCTTGGGTTTATGCATGCTGCTATAAAGAAAATATGGATTTAATTTATAGGAATGTTCCAGGTTCAATACATGGGAAGCTTATTGACAGCATGCCATGTTGATTATTACACTGTAAAAAAGTGATTAGTTGGCTTTACTTACAAAGGTGAGCAAGCCTGTTGCTTTTAATAACCCTTTATCAGCATCTCAGTCATTTATAGCCTCTGTTAAAGGGGCTAAAGTTGGAGTCTTTTCCAGAGTATTATTATAATTATAAAACATATTGCATTATAAAATATAAAATAACACTGTTTTAACACTGTGTAAACTACTAATCACAATAAGAAATGTACTGTTAAATTAATTCTGTAATACTGTAAAAAGAGCTTTTTACTTGAATCATGAATTAAAGAAGCATTATGTTATTTGTATAAAAATTTAATGCGTGTTTTTTAAGGATTTAACAAACTTAATATAGTTAGAAAAATAAAAAAAAACTGATGTCTGCGTTACTTAAAGGCACAAGTTTCACTGAATAAAAGTAACTTAAAGTACTGTGTGGATTATAAGAATTAATAAGTAAATTTTACTTTTAAAAACAGATTCGACAAACCTTAAACTACAAGTTGAAATATGATCAAATTGAGTTGATGTTACTTGAAAATACAAGTTAAGAACAAGTGTTCACACCATATGTGGAGCACACAAATAAATCGTACTATTCACTTGCAAATAGACGAGTGAACATTTTGAGTTTACTCACTTCATTCGTCCATCAAATTCACCTCATAATAGATGCAGATTTGCGTCATGGGCAGTGTTTTGTCTGTCTGGTGACTATAGCTTCGTTGCTAAATGGCTAACATGGATTTAATTGAGAGAATAGCTGTGTTTACAGTGCATCCGGAAAGTATTCATAGCGCTTCACTTTTTTTTCATATTTTTTTTTGTTACAGCCTTATTCCAAAATGGCATTAAATTCATTTATTTCCACAAAATTCTACACACAATACCCCATAATGACAATGTGAAAAAATATTTTTCGAAATGATTGCAATTTTTTTACAAATAAAAAAAACTTTAAAAATCACATGTACGTCAGTATTCTCAGTCTTTGCTCAATACTTTGTTGATGCACCTTTGGCAGCAATTACAGCCTCAAGTCAGTACCTCTCAAGCTCTATCAAGTTGGATGGGAAGTGAGAGTGTACAGACATTTTCAGATCTCTCCAGAGATGTTCTGCGGTGTGCTTTGGTTCATTGTCCAGCAGGAGGATGAACCGTCGCCCCTGTCTGAGGTCAAGAGCACTCTGAAGCAGGTTGTCATTCAGGATGTCTCTGTGCACTGCTGCATTCATTTTTCCCTCTATCCTGACTAGTCTTCCAGTTCATGCTGCTGAAAAACATCCCCACAGCATGATGCTGCCACCACCATGCTTCAATGGAGGGATGGTATTAGCCTGGTGATGAACAGTGCCTGGTTTTCTCCAAACGTAACGCCTGGCATTCACTCCTAAGAGTTCAATTTTAGTCTCATCAGACCAGAGAATTTAGTTTCTAATGTTCTGAGAGTCCTTCAGATGCCTTTTGGTGGGAAGTGGCTTCCGTCTGGCCACTCTAACATATAGGCCTGATTGTTGGATTGCTGCAAAGATGTTTGTCTTTCTGTAAAGTTCTCTTCTCTCCTCAGAACGCTGGAGCTCAGACAGAGTGACCATCGAGTTATTGATCACCTCCCTGACTAAGGCCCTTCTCCCCCGATCACTCAGCTTAGATGGCCGGCCAGGTCTAGGAAGAGTCCTGGTGGTTCCAAACATTTTCCACTTACGGATGATGAAGGCCACTGTGCTCATTAGAAATTTCAGAATTTCAGAAGACAATTCCTTTGTCTTCATGTTTGGTTTGTGCTTTGACATGCACTGTCAACCCTGGGACCTTATATAGACAGGTGTATGCCTTTTCAAATCATGTCCAATCAACTGAGTTTACCACAGGTGAACTCCAATAAAGCTGCTGAAACATCTGGAGAATGATGAGAGGAAACAGAAGGTACCTGAGCTCAGTTTATAGCTTCACGGCAAAGGCTGTGAATGTTTCTGTACATGTGATTTTTCAGGTTTTTTATTTGTAATAAATTTGCAACAATTTCAAAAAATCTTTTCACCTTGTCATTATGGAGTATTGTGTGTAGAATTTTGAGGAAATAAATGAATTTAATCCTTTTTGGAATAGGGCTGGAACATAAACAAATGTGGAAAAAGTGAAGTGCTATGAATACTTTCCGGATGCACTCAAGAACTGTGTTGTTTCAGCTCATTTTGAACATGTAGTTTAAACAAACAGCAAACATCATCTTTGAGTGTTTGGAACAAGTGAAAGGTTAATAAAAGCCCTCAACACCTGTGTGCAAATAAGCTAGAAAGACTACATAAATAACTGTTCTGTGCTTGGTGCAAATGTTTGAGTAATGGCAAGTTTGTTTTGGGGTTGTTTGGCTGGAAAGCAAGGTCCAGAATGCAACCTCAGCCTTTCATCCAGGACTAGCTTTGTGTGAGTGCCAGCCTGGGGATTCTCACTCTGGGAACAGTCACTTGGAGACCCGCTGTCAACACAAACACAGCACAAAGAGTCCCAAACCGCCTTCACTCTGACAATGTGCAGCTTTAAGCTCTCTGCCAGCTACCTGATTGGGGTGGTGGATGCCAGCAGAAGAGCTTAAGTACAGGCTTCAGAAAGGTTTACCACCAAGATCGGTATTTATCCAGCTTCCCTGCAACTTCTGTTTTGCTTTTTTAACTAGCTTTTCAGTCCTAATATAGCAGATAATGTTTAAGAATAGAAAGATGGCTACTTTCATGTCAATTACATGTAGCTTTTGTGTTTGAATGATGGCTGTTTTCACACAGGTTTCCCAAACATTCAGCTAGCTTTAAGCTTAATCAAGTAGATGGACATCATTCTCCTGAGGTTAGTCAAGTCTTTTGATTCTTTCTGTTGATGTAGTTTTGGTCAATGCAGTGGCTTTCAATCTAAATTCACTTAAACGTTAAGACACTGTATGCCAAGACATGTTCAGAACTGAACTGGTGATCAACTTCAGCTGCAGTGTTTCATACTGACTGTCGGACAGGCTCTGTTCACAACTGGTATTAAGATGTGTTTTTGTCGATCAAAAGTGACTCATCCCCATTCACACCTGCCATTTTGTCCACTTTCCACCACTTTCAACCACTTATGACAAGGGAGGATCTGTGGGCGAGTTTATCTGATCTTTAGTACTACAAAAGCTACTAAAGTTTAATTTAAATTACCAGGAGAATTAAAAACGCTTTACAGGGTATCCGCGTGGTCTTAAAAATCCTTAAAATATCTTAAATGAACTGAAATATTGAGTTGTATGTTTTAAATAATTTTTAACAGGTCTTAATTTTGTCCAAGTAGAGCTACTCAATCGGGCCGACATCCATCCAATCACCAACAATCCATCTTAATAAAATCAGGGTAGGCAAACTTAAAACAATTACACAGTTCCCTTATGATAATGACAGAGCAATGTTACGTTATCTTCCATTCATACGAAAACTATTTACAGAAGAGCAAGTAGACACAATATAACACTTTATAATAGCTACAATTATGAATAATTTATGAAGCATTAGCAAATAGTGAGTTCATTATCTGTTAAGCATTAACTCCACATTAACAGATGTTAGTAAGCAGTTTATACCTGCAGATACAAATGCTTTATTCTCGACTTATGAGAACATATTATGTGCTCAATGATTGTATTTTCATACTTTGTTAATGATTAAGTATTAAGTATTTCATCATTAACAAACCAGTTATTTGAGAGAAGTTATAAATGACAAATGAAAGGCTTAATATCAAATGAAATATTTACTTTTAATATTACTCATATTTGAATAATATTTACAACAGATACTTTTACTCTACTTTTTGGGCTAGCTCATATCTGTCAACCCTCCCGTTTTTCCCGGGATTCTCCTGTATTTTTCAGTTCTATCCCTATATCATCCTGTAAAGGTATTTTCCCGTTTTTCTCCCATATTTTCAGTCTTTTTCTGAAGGGTGGCAGATAAACATTAAATAGCAGAGTCTCCTTAAACACAACCCATACCGCCGAACCACCAGGGGCCGCCCCTTGCTCTTAAACGTGAGTTTGTTCTGTGCTTTCGCTTTGTTTAGGCATGAAAACACATTGAAATAAATATAAAAACGGCACGATTTCCTTTCCTTTTCATTACAAGTGCCGTCGCCCCTTTACAGCAATTCTCAAAAACAGTCATATCGCAATGTTAACTGTCAGCTGACGTGCTGCATATTGATAAATAGACACTGTTTTCCAAATGGATTCTGTAGACGCAATTTAAAAACGGAGCGAAAGTTGTTTTAGGTGCGTGTTTAAACAGACATAAACACATAATTAATAATAATAATATCTAAAGATGTCGATCTTGGTGGAGTTTTTTTTCAAACACAACTAATTTTCGAAAGCCTTCATTATACTGTTATATGTGTGCATTTTTAAAGTGACATTTAATGTAATCAAACGAAAAAAATCTTAATAAATGAGAGATTCATTAGTTGCTCTTTGATCAGAATTTGTAAGTTATACAGTGGGGAAACGGCTAATGACATTTGATAACTTGATACTTATTCATTATAATAGCTAACTTATTTTAATAAGCTGATCTGTTTGCTGATATATTTGCTGCTAATGTATACCATTGATTTTTTCTTTTGTAAATAATAATAATAATAATAATAAAACATCTTACTGACAATTTAACTGTTTATTTACAATGAAACAGCTCCAAATGAAAAAAATGGTGGCGGGGTCGGGGTAATCCCTTATTATGGTGGGCATCCCAATGTGTATGGGCTAGTTATGGTACTTTTACTTGAGTATGATTTTTCAGTACTCTTCCCACCACTGCTTTTAGCATAATGCTTATAGCTGTCTCTGCGTGTTAAGCTAAGAAAAGTCAGTATTTAACATCCACAAAACAGAACTCATCTCTCTTAATCTGTGTATTGTCTCATAGAGATTCACTTTTTTAATGTTAGCTTTGGCTAAAGAAGCTAAAATTACACATCAGAGCATTGCCTGAACTATGCTTTTGTGTTTGTGGCAGCAGAGTTTTTTTTTTTTTGTTGCTCTAATGTACAGTGCCCTCTGCAGGCAATTTGTTACCCTCATATTTGATGAATCCTGCAACATTTCCACTTCCTTTGAACATAACTCCACACACACACACACACACGCACACACACACACACACACACAGATGACGATAATGAACATGGCTGTGTTTTTTTCTGCATTGGACATTTGACGTGACAGACACTGACACAAACACACTCGCACATCCACTCCTAAAAATGTAGACGCCACTCAGAGCATGCACAGCCCATATGAGTTTTTAGCAGACAGATGCATGCTAATTAATCACGCAAACGAACGCCTCGTACCCCAACAGGCTGTTTTCCCCGTGCTCTTCCTCTTGATATGGCAAATAACAGGCCTGCCTGCCACGCAGCGAGACACTTTGTCAAACAAATATGATCAAAACAAAGCTAATGACGTGTAAATTGTTTATGATGTTCTGTGCAATGAGCAGCCCTATTGTGTGTGTGTGTGTGTGTGTGTGTGTGTGTGTGTGTATGTGTGTGTGTAATCACTGCCATCAGCTTGACATAATCAGGAGGAAATGAATATGAGTGTTTCCCAGAGCACTTTGAGGCAAACAGCGTTCTGGAGGCCTGTGATGGATGCAGGCCAGTTGCAGTGACATGACTGATTGTTTGCGTGTGTGTCTCAGTGATGTGTACATCATGTGTGGAGCGTTTGAAATGTATTTCAGTGAAACACGTATTTAATGGACTGGTATAATAAAATATGCTAGCAAAATTAAAGGGATAGTTCACCCCAAAATGAACATTTGGGGCCCTTTTATACCCTCGGTGCAATAAGGTGCAAGACTTGATTTGCTGCTATTTTCAGACCAGCGCAACAGTCATTTTCATGTTTTGCGCCATGTTTTTTTTAATAGCAAATCCACTTTGTGGACTTATGGGTGTTCCAGTCTAAAAAGGTGGTGTGTTAGGGTGCATTGTTGGCGTGTTGCTATTGTGAAGAACTTAAATAGACCACACCACTGACCAACCAAAAGCTGGTCTAAAGTCTAGCACAGAGTGTATTAGTTATGCACCTGTGCAGGTCCAAAATGCTTACACATTGCTTAATAAACACATGATGTACAGCAATACACAAGTATCTTTACATATTAAGAAAATAAGTATATTAGTAGCAGTATTATTTATTTTATGCATATTTATATTTGTATAAGTAAAAATTGTTTGTCCATCTGTTGGGTTTTGGTGACGTATGCATTACTGTATGGGGCATGAGAATAGGACATGTGTTTGAATATAACTTTGTTTTTTGGGCACACTACATTACTATTGTTTATTTATTAGTTTGCTGGAAATTAAAATTGAATTTAGAAATAGTTTTTAAGCAAATGTTTGCGCTTAACAAACAAAATTAAATATGTAGGCTAATAGATGTCTTCAGCGGAGTGCGTGTAACACCGTTTTCTTATTCATGAAAGTAAAAGTAAAGAGAAAGTAAGAGGCTGAATGGAGGAGGCTTATTCTTTATCTTCGAGCTGCAGGTCCTCTGTTTAACTGTTTTCTCGCCAGTGAAGCATTCAGTTTTTCATTTACAAAGTCCGCCATGTAAATAGCTAATGTGCCATGACATGACGCAACTGGCTCTTAAAGGGAATGGGAGATGATACTGTGATTGGTTTAATACACATTATGCTTCAAACATACCCATAACTCATTAAGAGAATGAGTTGATCTAAATGTGTGTGTATCGCGTATCGTGTTGTCCCATCCTTAAAATTGCAAAAGTGTGTCATGTGTATTAGACTTTGTGCCTAAATTGTTAAAATTGTTAATTTACTCACCCTCAGACTGTTCCTGGCTGTTTTTTTTTTTTCAGTACAACATTAAAGATCTTTAGTCAAAACCTTGACCCTTAGTGATTTGTGTATTATACCCTATTAAAAAATACTAAGTCCCAAACAATTACCTTATGTTGTCCTAACATAACTAGATTAAGTTAACTTAAATGTTTTTTTACAAATTTAAGTGGATTGAACATAAAACAAATTAAGTTGTCACCAAAAAACACAAAATAATTGTGTTTGCAATTCATTTTAAATAAGTAGTTTGAGCAAGCTGGCATGAAAGATGTTGACATAGAATTGATCCAGATTTTGGTAAAAACCTAAACAATACAAGAATAAAATAAAACAAAACAAAAGAAAATCTGCAAGATGAGCTATATGTGTAATAACTATAAAATGACACAAGGGGAAAGTACTGAACTACAGAAACATTTTTAAAACTTTATGGAAAAGACTTTATTAATGATGGCAGCTTAAAGAAACCTCTCATTTGGACAATAAAGTCACATGAATTGCTCAGGTGTGAGTTTTTTTCAGAGACTTCAACAGAGTGTAAAAATCTCGTCTGTTAAATCTGATATTTAATTTGCATTTCATATTGGATTCAAGTCTCATGATTGGTTGGGCCATTCTACAGCTTTATTTTTTTTTCTCTGAAAGCATTTGAGAGTTTTCTTGGCTGTGTTTTGGATCATTGTCTTGCTGAAATGTCCACCCTGGTTTCATCTTCATCATTCTGATAATGTAGATGTTGGACTGAAGCAGCTAATATTTATTTGCAATGAGGAAAGGCACAGGGTTGCTGAAGAACTACTGAGAGATTTCAGCTGCTGTCTGGGCTTACACTGCCTATCTTTGCCTCCCTTTCTTCATGTGTTCAATACTTTTTCTGGCGTCATTTCCCTTTATTCCATTACACTTAATTTGTAAACTATTTAGCTTTGTTTTGTTTGCATATATGAATTTCGTTGGTTGTTACCAACATCTGGTTAACATTTCAAATCAACAGCACCTTTAGAAATATGTTTTATGAGAAAAATGTTGACGTGTTCAATACTTATTTTCCCCACATATACACTTTAAAAAGATATATTTAGCTGCTTTTTCAAACTACTTAATAAAATTAGCTGAAACAACACAATTGTTGAGATTTTTTGGGGACCACCTATTTGTTGTGTGTTCAATCTATTTCATGTTCAACTTGTAAGAGTGATTAAGTTAATTGAATTGATTTGTGTTGTGACAACATGAATGAATTTGTGTGGAACCCTGCATTTGTTGAAGCATATGGTTGTTGTTTTTTTTATGATTTTGGATTCTCAAAGTGCCAATGGCCATTGACTTACAGTTTATGAATCACAGAGGACTACAATTTCACAAGTTATTTATTATTATTTAGTTTTTTATAAGAAATAAAAAAACTCCATTTTGAATAGTCTGAGAGTGAGTAAATATAATTTAATGGGCATTTATTTAAGTAAATGCTTGTTTTTGTCTATTCTCTATAATTGAGGCAATTCCCCCAAAATGTATTATTTATTCTGCACAACCATATTCTACACCAGTGAATCATATCTCACACATAAATATTAAATGTTACAGCAACCAATGACATGCTAATGTTCTGTACTAATGCATGTCAACAAAATCATCATTAAAGTATTAAATCATTGCTTCTAAAGGGAAATGTTTGTTTAATACATCGAATTGAAAACACACACTCACAGATCAGCAGCACAGCCAGCAGTTTGGGCAGTCTGCAGTGTGTTCTGTGAGAGGAGTGCAGTGTGTGTCACACACTAGCCAAGCAGATGCAGAACCAAAGCTAATCCAACACACTGAAGCAGTGCAGTTTTCTGCTGAATCCTCTGGCACACACACTCACACACACATTTAGATGCATCCAAGTACACCACACATTTGTTTTCATTGTGATGTACATAATTCATAGGTTATGTATAATTTAGAGATTTTATTTATTAATTTGTAAAATTTTAATTCTTAAATATTAAAAAATAGATATGTTTAAGGGTGAGAATAGAATTAAATATATTTCTAAACATAATTTCTAAATAACAAATTTTGAATAAGTGCTTGCTTTTTTCTTTAATCTTTGCCATGATGACAGTGCCTCATATTTTAGATATTTTTCAGGATATTAATATTCAGCTTAACAACCAAAATGCATTTGTTTAAGTGTTTTAGCAAACTTGCTAATTCTCAACATCAGTCCACATGAGGCTTGACAAAATTTGCAAAATGTAAATATAAGACATATACACAACGTTATAATTATTTACATAAAATTACTGAAGGCAAAAGCGAAGGCGACATGATCCCACAAACTAACAGACTATTTGTGCAAACACTGCTGTTTTGTTTTTAACCACTTTTTAGGAGCACTACTAAAAATATTTAGATTACTTTCTGATTTTAGGCTAACAGGTAAATCATTCCACAGTTTGGCTCCCTTTACAGAGAAGATAGATTGACCAAAGGAGGTCTTACACTTTGGCACTAGACAGTCACCATTAGCAGTTGCCCTTGTAACTCTGAGAGAGGTTTGATGCCTTCTGATTAGATCAGAAAACACTATTGAAACATGATTATTTAAACATTTAAAAACAAATTTAAGATAATTAAATTTAATAAAACTATCAAAACTAAAATGGTTATGTTTACATAAAACTTCACAATGAAGTTATATAATATATTGAGTCAATAGGCTTCAAACTAGTTAAAGTGGCTTGTGACCAAGATGTAATGCAATACGTCAAGTGAGAGAATATCATTGTGTGCATGTATAATTTAGCTATGTTAATGTTAAAAATGTGTTAATGTTTTTATGTTAAAAACCTTCTAATAAAACAAAAACAGTTTAAACTTGGCTTAAATTTCTTATATTTTTAACAGGACTATCAAATTTTAAATGAATGTCCAGAGTTATGCCAAGATGCTAAAATTCATTCACTTTTTTATAACTTTATTTTAATCAGCACCTCAAATGGATCCCCTACAGGCCTATTTCTTATACAGAAGCACATAGAAACTGTAGTAGACTGATTATAAGTAGAGTGTTATTTTGGGGTTAGGGTAAGTGTAGGTTGACATGTACTTGCAAAGTTTCTTATAGTCAGTTAAATATCTGTTGAAGGAGCAGTATCAACAAATATTAGGCAGACAGTCTACTAATACTCAAATGGACCCTCAAAATACCAAATGATGCAGTTGTGCAAAACCAAAGATGTTCTCTCACCTAAAACTTTTACTGTGCTGCCTTAAAAATCTCAGCTACTTCATTTTGGTAATCCCACCGCAATTTCAATACAGATTACAAGTAAAGACAAAAATTGCAGTCAGACGCATTGGAATCATGACAGAAGTTTTCATTTTCTCAGAGAGACTTGAAGAATGAATCTTTGAATCAAACTGTGTGGAAAAATCATTGCTTTCGGGAATATACATATATATTACTGAACATTCATAGTTTAAATACACAAAGACACACATCAAAATTCAAAAGGAGCAAACAAAGAAGACTAATCCGAATTTCATCATTTGTACAATGGCTGTTTACGGCTTATTTTTGTGCATAATGTCGAGCATTGAAAGCGTAAATAAAATAACTATGGTAATTTCACGCAATTTCACAATAAATCAGCCAATGATGGTTCCAGTTCCACTTGGCTCTGATAGCGCATGTACCGTTTGAACCTGGAAATAAGAAAAAAAAAAGAAATTTCTTGACACAGTCTCACCACACAAGAGATGGATTTCCCTCTCCAGGAAACGAATGAACAAAAAGAGCATTCAATATGTAATTACCTGTCATAGACACAGTCACACCGGTGAAGGGAATTCAATATGCACCCGTGACACTTCCGGCGTAATGTGATGGAAATAAGTGTTTGTTTTGGGTAGGTGGAGGGGGAGGGGAGTTTAGTATGCGTGTGCGTGTAGTTTAGACGTTTGTTGGTGCAGGAGAAACTGCATCTGCTTGTTCATTATGGTCATAGAACAAAATGAAGGCATGGGGAGATGTTTCGTTTCATGGACCCAAAAACATTGTTTACGACACTTAAGTTTATCTCAGACATTTCAAAACATCTCTCTCTCTCTCTCCATCTCCCTCGCTTTGTAATGGTTGTGTGAGTCTCACTCAATATTTCTCATTCTTATTAACTGCATGGGTGCAATTTATTTTCCTCTCAGGCAACGGAGGTGGCTGGGAATGTGGGAGACTCTGCTCGCCGCTGATAAGCAAACGCTCACACACAGGCCTGCAGGAGGGACCAGATTTACCAGGAAGACAATGTCCACTAGGTCACATACGTGCGCTTACACACGGACACACGAGTGGAGTAATTTACTGCGCCAACATAGATAAACTTAAATAAACAGATAAACAGACTAACACTCGCTTGTAGGAGCCAAACACGCGCAATCGTTCGATATATCAATGCTTTACTGTGTACACATGCGCAAAATAACATAAAAAGCAAAGGAGTTTGTCATTGGAAGTGAAAAACAATTAATAAAAGGGACAGTTTCACCAAAAAATCTAACTGTTGTAGTCATTTGCTCAACAGCATGTTCCAATTTTGAACAGTGTAATCAACATGGGCTCATTCTGAAAATGTAGCCCTGTGTACATTTCTGGAGATCGTGAATTAAGGAGCAAGAAGTATGTATGGCTGAAATACATTTTTTTAAAATAAGTGGTATCGGGTAGTATGATGCTGTTCCTATTCATGCTTACCAGCTGACCACTTACCTCCGTATGGACGGCTTTCCTGGTGTTACCAGTTTGTCAAGTTAGCACGCCATGCACGTCAGTGGACTTGAGATGCAGAGAGAAGTTGACGTGGTTCAAGTCCGGTGAAGAATGGTTCCAGAAAGCAGGTAAGACAAAAACAGAAGCCAAAAAATAAAACAAACAAGTAAATAACAGGGTGTGAATGTGGTAAATCATAGTAAATATCAGGCGAGGGCTTTTCTTTTTCTGGATTGCTTTATAAATTTGTTGGGTTTAGGAAAGAGGGAGGGTGGGTCAGTTAATCGGTCAGTCAGTTAAACAGTCAGTCAACAGCAGCCTCTAGTGGATTTACGTGAGAACAGCAGGCATGAATGGCACTCGTTAGAGAAATTTGAGATCTGAAAAAGCATACACAGCATCCTCTGCTGGATTCGCTAAAACAAAAACTGCCAAAAATGTAGCTCCTGGGACGTATTTGATGGTCTCCAGAAATGTATATAGAGGTACGTTTTCAGAATGAGCCTGGGTTGAATGTAACACTTTACTTGAAGCGTGTGTTTAAAAGACATGATCAATTAACCGTGAGATGACATGTTATGAATGTGATTAAATGAGATTTCATGGGTATAACAACGATTATTTGCTCAGTTATGTCATTTTAAATGCAAAGATGACAATGTTTGGTATCACAACTTGACATAAACAAATACATCCGGGTTTTGTCTTTGTCATGATACCTTGACATTACCAAGACAACAAAACTTGTCATAAATCTGTCATAAACATGATTATCATATATTTATGTCAAGTTGTCATAACAAACCGTGTCATCTTCACATTTAAAATGTCCAACATACGCTCATTCTGAAAACGTAACCCTATATACATTTCTAAAGATCAGGAATAGCCAGAAGTAAAGAGAAGAGTTCTTCAACACATTTCTAAACATAATAGTTTTAACAACTTATTTCTAATAACTGATTTATTTTAATAATATTTTACCAGTTATTTTTCAAGACACTTCTATTCAGCTTAAAGTGACATTTAAAGGCTTAACTAGGTTAATTAGGTTAACTGGGCAGGTTAGGGTAATTAGGCAAGTTATTGTATAATGATGGTTTGTTCTGTAGACTATCGAAACAAAAAATAGCTAAGGGGCTAATAATTTTTACCTTAAAATGGTGTTTAAAAAAATAAAAACTGCTTTTGTTCAAGCCAAAATAAAACAAATAAGCCTTTCTCCAGAAGAAAAAATATGATCAGACATACTGTGAAAATTTCCTTGCTCTGTTAAACATCATATAAGAAATATTTATTAAAGAAGAAAAAATTCAAAGGGGGCTAATAATTCTGACTTCAACTGTACGTTAAGCTGCATTTTGTCTTTAAAATGAATGCTACCGGGCTGTATGACGGCGTTCCTTTTCACACTTACCACACTTGTTAGAGGCCGCTTACTTCTATTATGGACGGCTTTCCTGCTGTTAGCAGTTTGTCCAGTGGCTCGCCATGTACGTTGGCGGACTTTAGATGCAGAGAGGAGTTGACCATGCAAACAGAAGTCAAAAAATAAGGTAAACAACAAAATAACAGGGTGAGAATGTGGTCACATCTGAAACCGTGGTAAAAATCATGCAACATCCATACACACTCATTCAGACATGTACTACGGCCAATTAAATTTATTCAGTTCACCTAAGCATGTCTTTGGACTTGTGGGGGAAGCCGGTGCTATCTCCACACAGAAATGCCAACTGACCCAGATGGGACTCGAACCAGTGACCTTCTTGCTGTGACTCAATCGTGTTTCTCACTGCGCCACCGTGACGCCCTTCTTCCAAATTATTAAACAAAACAAATATGATTTAAATGCGATATAATGTGGGAACAGTGATGTGATTTGTGCTGCTTAGTTAGTGACTAGCATTAAGAAGAAAGTTTCAGAACTGAAAGAAAAAAAAAACCTGTAATGATATTCCTCCCTAGTTGCTTGTTTGTGTTTATGTCTAGGAGCCGAGCAAAGCAGCAGGACGATAAGGGAGAAAAACGACAGCGCACACTGTGGCGTCAGGAGCACAGAGACGTCTATAAACTAAAAGAAGCACTGCACTGTCGGAATATGACAGCCAATCCATCAGGGAAATGGAAGCTCTGTCTACTGCACCAAGGAGAGAGTGGCCAGAACTTTTATAAATAGTCACACATTTTTAAGGGAAATTGAAAGTTGTCAGACATATGCTTTCCAGTTTTTCTGTTGATCATCCAAGTGGCCGCGCTGGCTGAATATGATTGAAACATCAAGGCATACAAAGTAGGAAGGTTGAAGGCTACATGGAAGGTTGGCTGTAGTGCATGAGCGCGATGGGATGGTTTTATTGCTGGTCTTTTATATTAGTGGTTTCCCAAACAAGGAAAGGCAAATAATTAATAATTTAATCAAATGTAATAATATTGATTACTGTAGGAACTCTGAAGTGTGAAGAAAATTTACTGTTTTTTTTCCCTACTTAAAGATGAGGCTGTGAAGAGTGAGTGGTTGAAGTTTATATTTGCAAAAATACCTCAGCATTATAGCCCCAGCTTTGTGCTGTGTTCTTGTCATTTTTCTGACGAGTGCTTCAGCAATCTACACACTTCCAACAGGCTATTCATCAGCCGTTTGTAAAGGAAGGATCAGAAAAGACTATTGATGTATGGGACTTTGTCAGAGCTTGACAGGAACTTTACAGTGCACAGTTCATGGACCAGTTCCTTCCTACATTTCACATGTGTAAGTAAGTGCAATTAAAATTGTATCCTCATTTTCTCTTGCTTGCAAATTATGTATTTAATTGTGTTTTGTTACTTGTAAACACTTGTACTGCAATATGCTGGTGTTTAACTGCATTGCTTTAATGCCCTCCTGCATTAGGCTCACACATACACTATGCACTCTGACTACAAAAATGTTGATAAGCCGTGCTGGGGTGCATTTCCCAAACAACGGCATAACTCGTGGCTGAACTATCATAGTATGATGCATCGTTTAGGAAAAGAACAATGTAGTAATGAGTGTTTTCCAAAACCCGTAGTTTCTCTGTCGCAGATCCATCATTTGAACCACATTAGTTATAGTGTAAAGCGCCCATATTGATGCTCTAAACGGGGTGGAGTAACAACTTTAGAAAAGAACCTCATCATTTCTTTGAGCAAATTATATTGTTTAACACAAACACGCATTTAAAATAAAATCCAATATTAATTTTGCTAAAAACATGTACTTGTTTTCCATATTAATTGAAATACATGTAAATGGCACATATAGGGCCTATGTTTCCTTTACAAATATTATCGAGTATATTCCATAGTCTATTCTAAATTAACATAAAATTACTTACAAAAGCTGACACATATTCTAATCTCATATATAAATCATAAATAATAAATGAGGCTGTTTATTAAGAAATAAAATCTAATATTTATTATTTATTAGGAAATTTAACAAAATTCTACTTTCATAATGATATTGATGATGATGATTATTATTATTATTGTCTACTATTACAGTTTGACAGTTAGTGCAGAAATGTTTTAACCAACAGGTCCATGTCTTATACAGTACAGATACACTTAATAAATAATCTACTATAAATTAAAAGCATAAACTAAAAAAAAGCATTAACGTATGCTATGTTTTTGTTTTCACAAGCTTTGGAGACATAACATAAATTCCACTTTTAAATAATAGGTCACCTTTCGTCATGAGCCACTGCTGTGTTCAAAATGGCATAAATGTTTTCAAAGTGCACTCCGAAGGGAGCGCAATTGTAAACATGAAGACCGCTAAAACTGAACTGTAAAAATACTTTGAAAGCAAATTGCACCTAAGAGAGATGACCTTAATGTTTTTTTTATTTTTAATCATTCCAAGTTTAATTGTTAGAATGTTTTAAATGAATAGGGCATAGGGGGGATAAGTGGGAATAGAACACAGCTAGGAACTATGTTTCTAACTACAGCTCCAGAGGTGTGGTTGCAAGTGCACAAGTTTGCGACGCAGTTTGCAAATGTTCGTTGGAGCGATGGATTTGGAAAACGGCAAGTCAATGAACTATGTTTGTAACAATGGAACTTGTGACCTTAGTTGGCTAGTGATGGTTTTTGGAAACGCACCCCTAGGCATTTCTCTCTGTCTCACGCTGAACGCAGTCGACCAATCACAACAGACTGGGTCATCGGCCCAATCAGCGCAGATTAGCATTACGCTAAGGAGGAGTTTGTTAACAAATGAATGGCTAAACAAATCAAATGGGAGTCGTTGGGATATTTAGGTAAAAATAAATGCAGATTATAAGACAATGCATCCTGCATGCGTATCAGTCTGTTGGAGACCAAAATATGACCTTTTTAATGCATAATAGGGGCTCTTTAAAGAAATAAGCTGAAGGAAAGTGAGTGAGTGTAATATAAAAAAGGTTCTTTATTAGAATCAGTTTTAGGCCAGTTCACCCTAAACATTTTAATTGTCACCATTTTTTACTCACAATCACTTGAGCTTTTATTATTTTATTCTGCTGAAAATTCTGCTTTTGCATGCATAAAATCTCAAAAAATCAACATAGGCTCATTCTGAAAACGTAGCCCTATAAACATTTCTGGAGATCGAATTATGTAGCCAGAAGTACGTATGGCTGCAATTCTTCTTTTAAACAAACACTACAGGGCGATGACCAATAGACTGATCCACCCTCCTACTTCCCTAAACCCAACCAATAGTGTTTTCAAAAGCAGCAATTACCCAGCGCCCACCTACTTTTCTAAACCCAACAAACAGTTTTAAAAAGCAATCCACAAAAAGAAAAGCCCTCGCCTGATTTTTACCACGTTTTCAGATTTTACCACATTCTCACACTGTTATTTACTTCATTCATTTATTCATTTTCTTGTCAGCTTAGTC